TGTCTTTGTTTTGTGGGATGCTCTTTTAAGCTTTCTGATTTCACAAGTCGGACATATATGGTCCTTTTCAAACTTTATAACATGTAGTCCCTTAACCAGATTGTTTTTCAAAAGCTTCACTATATTTTGAAAATTCAAGTGAGACAACTTGTGATGCCAGAGCCATGCCTCTTCACATTTATGAGATACGAGACAGAGTGTCTCTAAATTATCTCTTGGTGAGAAGTTCATATGGTATAGGTTACCCTTACGTTTGGCTCTTAGCAACTCCTAACCTGATTCTGACATAATTGAACAAGCTTCCTTTTGGAACTTGACATTATAGCCAGAATCATAAAGTTGACTTATGCTCAAAAGATTATGTTTAAGCCCAGAGACATAAGCATCTTTAGAGACAATAACCTTACATTGGTGAAGATCTCCATATCCCCTTATTTCTCCTTGCATGTTATCCCCAAAGGTTACTAGCCCTCCAATTTTCTCTCTGTATGATGAGAGTAGCCTCTTATTGCCGGTCAGGTGTCTTGAGCATCCGAAGTCAAGATACCAAATATCCACATGCGGCTTCTGCAAAACAAATTATAAGGATTTAGGTACCCATTTCATAATGGGTCCTCGATGATTAGGCTGAGGAGATTTGACTTTAGGTTGAGGGAGATGGTTTGTCTCAACACCTGATTTACCAGACTTACGGTCTGGTTTGCTAGATTGGCTTAGAAGTATTCATTTTTTTCTGGGTCTTCTTGGAATTAATCATGGATGACCCAGAGAGAACGTAGTTGGGATTAGAGATGTGTTACTTTAACTTTTGCAGCAAAGAGAGAGATTGACAAGTATAAACACCATTTTGATGACAAAAAGGTTTATTAGATTCATAAAGCATCTTATTACAATCATTCCTAGCATTGTAAGTTCGAACGGACTTCCTATATAGTTTAGATTGTTTAGAATTCTTAAAATTAGTCTGCTCTGTCCTCCCTTTAACCCTTCTTACTCCTTTGGCCTTTAGAGGCCTTTCTTAAATGGAGGAATTTAAAACAGAATTAGTAGTGGATTTTCCTTTCTGTTCCAGAGTGAACTTGATTGGCTTTTAAGAGTTAGAAACTCTTGATGTAGAGGTAACATGTTTAGTTTTCTTAGCCTTGTTCTCCTTCTCAAGCCCTATAGAAGATTTAGCTCTTAGGCACATGTCCACGAAATCAGGATTTATTTATTAGATATACATTTGGAAGTTTCACAACTTCTGGTCCTGGTGCCACTATCTCTGCCTCAACTTGCTCTTTACTCGAGTCCACCTCTGATTCGGTGTCAAAGTCAAGAAAATCCTTGTGTGGATTTTGAGTTGCAGAGGTATCATTGAGATCTTGAGATTCTCGTGAACATGCACTAGTGCCTTCATCCGTCTTTTGCGTTGATGAAGAACTTTCAAAAATATCCGAGGAATTACTCTCAGAATTATCTGCATGACCTTCAGAGGGACAATTTAAAGCCTCAAGAAGATCTTGCTCAAAGACTTGTCTCACCGTCTCTGTGAAATCATTCATTAATTTGGATCCAGAGTTTTAACAAAATCATCTTTCAATGAACTCCTGGTTTCATCTGGTTCAGGTTTAACTACATCACCATTTGTTTTAAGATGTTCAGGATCATGAGAGCCAAAACAGAAAATTTCTTCTGTCTTCTGTATGCTTTTTAAATCAACTGGTTGCATACATTTTGAAGAGTAAGAAATATTATCAAATTTCAGTTTTTGAGTTCTGGCCCCATTTTCAAGTCTACTTTTTTTTAATAGTGAGCTTTTAGGCAAAGCATGAAAGTCGGGTTTTTGCTCTGCCCTTAACGTAAACACAGACTCAAGAGTAGATTATTTCTTCCAGGTGAGGTCTAGGTCTGTATAACCTATCCTTGCTCTATCCTATTAAGAATTTATCTTTTCATACACCTGCTGAGCATCTTGATACTTTTTAATCAAGAGCTCGTTTCTTTGCAAACTCTGGTGTAGGAATTCCCTTTCCTTTTGAAAATAGTTTTTCAAGGCTTCATAATTTAACCTATCATGCTCTTTCTCTAAAAGTTCTTTTTCCTTTTTCTGTGTGGCCGCTTTTAGTTCAGTGCACTCTGATTTATGACTATTTTCAGTGGAACGTTCTATTTCTAAAAGTTTTTCTTTTTCCACTGAAGGCTCTTGTTTTTCTACAGATAACAACTTTGTTTCTCGTTTAAAGAACAATTTTTCTTTTTCTAAAGATTTTCTTTTAGACTTTTTAACAGAGAGTTTTTGCTGTAGCTTTATGAAATTTTCAGTTAAAGCAGAAATGTTTTCTTCCAGATCGGAATGAGAATAACCAGAGGTAGAACATACATGGGAGTCGGAGCCAGATCCAGACTATTCTGCATCATTCTCGACAGCCATGCCACATAAGTGAGCTTGGTCCCCTTCTTCAGACGAGTAGTCAGAGACCCAGTTCTCTTGCTCAGCCATGAGGCTCCTTTGGGATGGATTGTACTTGTACTTATTCTTATAGTACAGTTCATCTTTCACCAAAGGGCCTTTACACTCTTTGGAGTAGTGGCCCAACTTCCCACATCTGAAGCATCTAACATCATGCTTCTGCCCTGACTGTTCTTCCTTCTTCTTGTTTTGTACAGAAGAAGGGTTCTTTCATTCGAATCCTCTGCCTCTTCCCTTATTGCTTCGACTTCCTCTCTTGTCGAAGACTTTCTTTTCAAATTTCCTTTGAAGTTCATTGGTAATTAAAGCCAAGGAATGTGCAAATGCACTAATGTCATCATCCTCAGAGCTTGAAGCTCTATCTTCATCATTGCTCTCCACAACAAGAGCCTTCTTCTCTCTTCTTTTCTCCTCCTTCGATCTCTTTTCTCGGTGTGCTTGACTAAACCTATTCTCTATAGAGTCAAAGACTAGAGCCAGAGGTACTCCCAGAGCGACATTGGCCTTCTGCACCTCTTGCTCCTGCGCTTGCAAGTTGCCGTATACTTCAAGAAGACTCCACTGCTCTAGGTCTTGATTCGCCTAGAGGGACATGGACAAGTTCCCCCATTCAACATTCAACCTCTTCAAGAAGAGCATATTGTTTTCCTCTTGAGTTTTGATCACATCACATTTTCTACATTTGTTGATCAGGGTGTTGAACTGGTGATAAGTCTGCTCGAGAGACTCATCTGGGAGAGCTTGGAAACTGTTGTACTCACTCAGACATTGAGCACGACGGTTCTTCTTCATCTTAATCCCTCCTTCCAGTTGGTTTGCCAGTTAATCCCATAGATCTTTGGCAGAATCGCAGGCATCCAGAGATTGAAAAATCTCGTTGGGAAGGGCCATGATTAAAAGACTCTTGGCTTTTTGATCCACCTCCACCCTTCTTTTGTCTTCAGCATCCCAATCTTTATGGAGATTGGGAACTCTCCTGGCAGGTACTTCAACTGTGTCACTAGCAGCAGGAATTCTGGGGATTAGAGTAGTAGGTACGAATAGGCCATTTAAAATAGACTCATATAATTGAAGCTCAAGACCTTCATAGAAATTGATCATCCTGATCTTCCATTGCAGATATTCTTCTCGAATGAGAATATGTAACATCCCATCTCATACATTGCATGTAACATATACTTCATACATCAGAAATACATGTAGATACGCCACATAGGTCCCTTAACACAAGAATCTACCAGAACTGAATACATGGTTCAAAAATTCAAAATACATTTCTCATACTAATCAACTTTCATATACCAAAACTATACATGTCAAAAACAATTCTTCATGTAGATATGCATAAAGGAAAATATTACATTTTCCCCTTTCTCTTACCGTCTGCACTTCCTGCAATACATATTTAAAATCACAAAACGAGGGTTAGACCGAAAGGTCTAATGAATTTCCCTTTTTATGTCATTGCAGGGTGAATATCACCAAAACTTTTATGTAAAATATCTTTTCATATACATATATATATATATATACTAGTTGTGTACCCGCGCAATGCGGCGGGAGCCGTGAATTTTAACGATTTTGAAGTTTCACTGGTTTTATTAGAGAAGATTTAACGATGATATAAGTTACACTTGGATTAGGTAAGTAGTTATTGACAGTTTTTGATAGATACCGTTTAGGTTTTGAAAGCTTCTGACCACTGCACCTCGTAAGGGGGCACGACCCCCATGACCCCGACATTCAGTGATCCCGGATGTAAATTAACTTATTCAAAAGTGCTCTCTCCAGCTTTTAGGGACCGTTTACCAAACGCTTACCCGGGTAAGCGTTTACCAAGTCACATTACTTTACCGGATGAATATGACAAGGAMCAAGAATTTTACCCGGTAAAAGCGAGACAARGAACAAGAGTCTTGCCCGGTAAGTGAATGCGACAACTCTTACCACGGTAGGTCTTATCGGGTAAATTATTGCATAYGGTGTTGTTTTGGTTGACTAAAATCTTACCCGGTAAGCAAGTAATAGTGTTGAATTTTACCGGTAAGCAYTTAAYGGGTAAGTATAAAAAACATCCATTAAGCTAACATTATCATTTTGATTGCTTCATCAGCAATTAGAAACCATTCAAATATCAAACTCAACCATTAGGCAGGTTAAAGCTTAACATTATGACTCTTGATTGTTATAAGCAATTAGAAACCACTCAAATATCAAACACAACCATTTAGCAGGTTAGAGCTAACAATACGATTCTTGATTGTTCATCAGCATTTCTTTTCAAGATCCATTTTTTAGTTATCAGGTAGTCATTGACACCTTGAGAAATACAAGATAGTTGTTTCTYAACCTGATTTGAATAAACCATGTTTATGTGCCAACATAAATAATATAAATGCASCAACAATATGGTAACCAAGCACAAAATCCCAAATCAAGATGGAGATGGGGAGATCTTGGAAAAAAATGGCAGAAAAAAAATTCAACCAACATAACTGAAACACTGATCAGTCAAAAGAATATGGCAAAGTAGCAGCAGTGCTTAACAATTGGTATGATTTGCTCTTAGTTTTTTTTTACATATTAATACATATAACATGAACTTAGAAATAGGCATCATGGTTAGTGTTTTACAAATCGCATGAACTTCATTTTCGAGGAGAACATGAATCATGAARCGATCCAAAACAATTACACAACATAAACATGAACAACAACATACAAATGTTCCTTTTAGCTTCAGATTTAAAAAACGCTTCACCTCACTTGATACAAGCAAATTGTATGCCTTTGGACAGCCCCTACACCCAAAAAGTAAAACATAAACCGTTTGCTCATCAGCTTAAAACCTGTGTACAAGAAAGAAAGTAAATGAATAAGGATTGTTGAAGCTACAAGGTCACTCTATAGTTTACCATAAATATATAAAGAATCAAATTAAGTGATCAAGGAACATATATACGTGAAGCATTGGAACTGAGTAATTAAAACCGTCTTTGTAAAAACACTTCGAATAACGTTCATAACAATTAACATTTACAAAGTTCAATAAAACTTTAAAAATCAAATTTCAATGACAAAAAACTGAACTCTAATATAGTTAATAAACTAAACTCTAAAATAATTAACCTAATTCTATCTCCTAACAATATAGATGAATCTTGACAAAAACTCATCCAGCAATGATAGGTATTGGACGTTTGTCCTTCACCACATGGCGAGCTGTGGGTAGAGCATGCAAACAGTAGGAACAGAATATCGAATTCAAGAACATGTTTAGAACAAAAAGAACACAACAGATAAGAGTCATCGCCCTCGCTTACCGGGTAAGGCTCTCTCGGTCCTTGTCTTCGCACTTACCAGATAAGTTTTTTGGTCCTTGCCATATTCATCGAGTAAGGTAATGTGACTTAGTAAACGCTTACCCAAGTAAGCGTTTGGCAAACGGCCTCTTAATTTTAGAAAACTTTAAAACCAAATCACTTTTCTTGATCATGATTCGAACAACGAAAAAATTTTATACTACTGTTTATCAAAGTTCAAAGGAAATGAATGCAGCTAGCCTAACATATTTGGAGAAAGGCAGTCCCAAAAAAAGAAATTAGAATAGCAGCAAGAAACTGATCATACCATTATAGAAATAGATTTGACCATCTTCAAAACCCTTTGATCTAGTGCAACCCAAAGCAGAAATAAACTTTATAAATCCTATTACCATTAACTGGTATAAACCAGACCTTAAACCAAACATTGGTTGTTGATCTATGATCTAACCAAATCCAAATCCAAACCARACCTTAAACCAAATTCATGGCCTGTATCTAGGTTCTATGTTAAGACTTAGGCTAAAAAATTTACCTATTATCTGCTCAATTTCTGCATCCTTTTCTAGCTCAGTTTCTATAGTCAAAGCAATTAACTTCATAAAGGTTGCATTATAAGCAATGTAAACATTTATTTGGCTTAGGGATAATCAAGTAATGGTGAACCACATTACACATACTTCTTCATCAAATCACTATCAAAAACATCTCCAACCTCTGATTCTTCTAGATAGTTTGTATCATCTTCTCACTAAAAAGAAAGAACAMATTTAACATATCAAGAAATTTTAAYACTTTGAGGATGGAACACATTTATCACCAAATAATCAYTGTCGAAAACATTGCACGTATTTTCTCTCTAATTTTGTACGTAATATCGAACTTAAATCGCGTGAGGCAAGTCRAKAACTRTTACCAGGGGTCGAGAAGGCGGTCAAAAGCCCTGCTTTCTGTTGTTTGAATAAAACCAATGAATTAGTTCAAAATTGATTATATAGAACTACCTGAATGGCAGCAAATAGGTGGTCATTGTAGGTTGTAATTGCATTAACCTTTCCACCGGTTCCTGCATAATTGTTGKCTTAACARTAAATTAGTCTTTAGTGCAATTGAGATGAGTAAAACGCTCACATGTGGATGTCAAAGAAACAAATCAAGCAAGGAACAGATGGAACTTTCTTAAACTTTAGCAATATATACCTATTAAAATTACTGCCATGCATATAATCTATGTTCCACACAGCTCAGTGTTTCAAAGTTACAATAGGTGACTTATCTAAAAGGGTATGCACATATTGTAAAASCGAATAGTCAMAATCTTCTTCACATTGCTAAAAAATCATCACTTGCCCGTTTATATAATTTACCAAATACACAAGAGGGGATTAGCAGCCTACATCACATGAATCCTACTTCATAGTAAGTACAATAAAACCTTCAAACACTATTTCATGTAATGGTTCTTAGGAGAGTACTCGTGGTGACAACTGACCTGTGTAAAATCTTGGTTGCCAGTTCCTGGAATAAACCAAAATGCTTTCCCAARAAAACACTTTGTGGGTTCATCTCAATCTTACACTTATTCAGCCTAATTCCYAGATTTAGGCAAAAAATTGCAACCTAAGCACAATCTCCCACTCAGTTTATATCGATTTTATGCTACTTACAACGCTAGAAACCATAAGACCTTAGAGGTATATTTCAGAAGTACAATTTATGGCTCGRAATCGCTGCAGAATAGTAACTTTGCCACAAATCAAACTCTAATTTTTACCAGATCAAATTTTGTTGTCCAAAACACTACTTACAACTTCAAGCTTTAATCTTTAAAGCATTTGTTATATATAAAAACCAGTTAGGCCATACAAAATATGCAACCAAACCAAATTCTACAACTTTCGAAAGGTGATACTAATTGTTGGAGTGCAGTGATTCTGTCCCCCATCTTCTACTTTTTCACCTAAAAAATGCAAACACAAATATATGTATCTTTATGCATATCACACAATAATTAATTAGGTGGTGGTGTTTTTTTCATTACGGTTTGCAGGTTTTTTTACCTTAGGTTTATCCCTTCTTTCCTTCACGAGCCATTGGTACAAAAGCAGGTTTTCTTACCTTAGGTTTATCCCTTCTTTCTTACAATCTGCAAATCTGGAATCCGACAAATGGGATCAGACACCGCCATGAAGTCCCAAACATGAAATGAAAACAGAATGCAGTCCCAAACAGAATCCAGATTTTAATCAATATATGCGTGGTTCTTACACTATTCCATAATTATACTTGTATAATAAGAAGAAAAAATATTTCATAATATTCAGATTATGCATGCTCAACAAGTGATATTCAAAAAAAAAAAAAATTCATAATATTCAGATTATCCAGAAAGTGAGTAACTCAGCATCCAAATAATTTAAATTGGAAGAAAAAAGGTGCTGTTTATGTAATGATGAGTCCATTCTTGACTTGACAAAAGTGATGTCCCCTAAATGATGAACAGTACCCATACCCCTAAATGATGAACAGTACCCATACCCCTAAATGATGGTCCTCTTCCTCCCAAAAGCAAAGTGGGTTGGGTTAATCCCCAAAAAGACTATATGCCTCCCATGTGCAACCCGGCTTCTGCCATCATTCCATCTGGTAATCCTCTCCTACCTGGAAATAAAAACCAGGAAAATCCCGGTAACCCTCACTATTAAAGTCATGTTTGGTACACAAAATAATATTTGATAAAACATAACAAAAACTTGTATTGTGGCACAGCCCTTCGCTTCATGGTTCCGTTATAAGGGGAAAATTACGTTTCTAGAGGTTGCCACTGTATTATTTTGTTGGGTTCCACCGTGTGGTTTTTGAAACTGAAATGTTAACACAAGACTTTTTTTGGTTAATATTTTGAAAAAAATACACATATCTTATAGTCAAATTTTGCACCACTTGAAATAATTTATGGGTCYGCCTCCCATAAGTTTTTCAGCCTCGGTCCGTTCAATCTTATCCGATCCTAACGACAAGAGTTTCAAGACCTAACGTTTATTTGTCGATTGAATTGTTCAAGATTGAAGTAAAAGTGTATGTATCATGTTCACCCATTTGTGGCTCAAAAGAGTATCATATGAGTTTAGTGGTTTAAAATAAAGGCAAGTATGCATAAAGTAGTCAAAGATGTGGAATCCAACACACATCGAGGGTGTATACTGGTTTTGTAAAGAATAAAGATTGCAAGATCACATCTCTACCCACTCACCCCACCTATCAACAAGAAGAAGAAGTAGCAGCAATTTGAACCTGCAAATCTGGAATCCGACAAAAAGCTTCAAAGCGATGTTTATTTGACAACAGTGGCTACGACCTCCGATAAATCTCCGAATCGAAAAATAAAACTACCGGATCAATCGGAATCCGTACCAAAAGCAATCCAAACATAAGCAATATACACAGAGAGAGAGAGAGAGAGAGA